TCAAATCATCTTCTTCAGCTCGGTGTGGTAGCGGAGGATTTGGTGCCAGGTCCTGCTCATCGTAGATCTTGTCCAAGGTGCCCAAGGGGTTGTCCTCCATGACAGCTTCAGCTGGAAATGCCACCTTGGTGATGGTACCTTCAAGATCACAAAGAATCCCTTGCAGGATTCCTTCACAAAAGGGACGTGGCCATTCTTGGGCTCGTTTTGTGCGGTTTGATCCCTCGAGAGCTTGGCGTTGGTGATCTCCCGGGCATAGTTGTGACATGTTCTGCTTGATGCCCAAACTGGCGGTCATCAGTCCAGTAGGTCAGTAGGCTTCTTGTTGGGCATACCACTTGAGGCCGAGGGTAGGTGACGAAAGCTAGCAGGGGTGCATCCGGACTGGTGGGACATCAAGCGGAGTGAGGCAAATGCTCATGAGGTAAAACGTTGTGAACATGTAAGACACACAAACAGCAATGACACAGCCAACCTTCGAATTGAAGTCCCCGACAATTAAGGAAGCGTGGCTGGACTTTGCCACACTGTTCGATGCATCCGATGTGTTCACGAACCTGTGAGCTTGTTGAATCTGTTGCACCGTATCCCAAAACCTCCACGGAGGAGTTGAAAAAGTGATGCCATAAGAGGTGCCCAAGAGGTGTCCCAGAGGCAAAACAAAGCTGCTTGCATGATTTGTTTGGTTTCTTCTATCGATGTCGATGTCATGAACATGTGAGCTTGTTGAATCTGTTGCACCGTATCCCGGAGGAGTTAAGCCAAAGTGGATGCCAATGGATGCCATAAGAGATGCCCGAGAGGTGTCCCAGAGGCGTCCGAGGGGGGAGTTGAACCCACCGGGGGGGGGCGGGGGGGCCCCCCCCCTACATATGAAGTTTTCACGTGATGCGGCGATCCCGAGGATTCCAGCCCCTCACTTGCTAAAGCAAGGACAACTCCAGCTAGCTGGTGCTAGCTTTCGTGATTATCTCGGTCCTTAAGACCGTAAGCACATTGGTCACATTTGATCACCTCCACGATCTCGCCCGTCATAGGGTCGGTGATGTGGTCCTGTAGAACTCGAAGAAGAGCAAGCGAGTCCCACATCTTTGACAGCCATGGTTGCTCCAGCAACACTTGCCGCCCTTTTGCCACTCGGCTTCGTATCACCTGCGAGATCCACTTTACCACCGGGTACCATTCCTTCCTCTGCTCCATGATCTTGTTCGCAGTCTCCTCAGACTTGCTCATATTGAGCTCTTGCCACTGGCACCAGGGGCCACAGAGCGGTGACATGGAGATGAGGTACGGGTCGTCCTTCTCGATCTGCTGGTCGATCATGTCCCGGTGTTCCTTTTTCCGCAGGTCGGTGCCGTCATACAAAATGTCGACGGGCTGTGAAACAGGGTATCCCATCTCGGAAGCCATGTGAGACAGGATGGCTGCTCCGGCAAAGATCTCCAGTAGCAGCGTGCGGCAGCCTCGAGGCATCAGACGAGGTCTTACGCTCTTGTGTGAGGATCGTAGCAATCCCCACATGTGCTGGTCCCTCTCCTTCACGTCTTGCACATCCTTCTTGAACTGCTTCTTCTGGCCCTTGGTGAAGACGCGCTTGTGCTGATGCATCTCATCCACGGCCATGTGGGTCTCATTGACCAGCTGGATGTCTTCCTCTGGTGGCGGTTCCTCTTGCTCATAGGTCATGTTGTGCTCCTTCTCAAAGTTCTCGGTGTCCTCGAAGTGCTCGGCCACCAGACCAAGATATCCGGGAATGAGCCGGATTGCCAGAAGTCCATTGCGGGCCACCAAGCAAAGATCACTGCCAAGTACGGTGGAGTGTACATTCTGGTGGTTGAGGTCGATCACAAAGCCAAGCTGCTTCTGGCTCTCCACGCTGAGCAAGAGCGGTGCGTCGGAAGAGGCAATCTCCAAGGATACCAAAGTTCCTCGGGCAAAATCTCCATTCTTCATCTCGAAGCTCACTTCGAACTCACGTTTTCCTATCAGCTTCATCTGGCCGCCAATTCCCTTCATGCCAGGTCCAGAGCATGGCTGTAGTGGAGGTTCAGGTGCTCCGGTGGCCTTGAGGTATTGTTTCAACCATTCACTTCCGTGACATGTGGCATTGCAGCCAGTGTCCAGGATGGCCACCAAGTTGTCTTCGCTGCCACATTCTTGGTGATGTTGTGCCATGTGGCCATAGTGAGTCGTCTCTGGGATGGCAGCTCCATAGCGATCACGTCCTCCAGCCTGCATGTCCTGGAAGTACTGGGCCAGACGGATCATAGCCTTGGAAGGTTTTCCGGTTTTGACTTCGTCCAAAAGCCAGCGGACATACCCTTGGTCATTCCAAGCTTCATACTGGGTTTGTCCTTTGTAGAGGCCAAAGCTAATGGTGCGACGGCCTTCTTGCTGTAGTGAATGAGCATGTGCTGGCGGAGTGGATGGGTCCGGTGTAGGCGGATCGGTCCAGATGGCCTGTGATGTAGGTGTCCTGGTAGGCAATGACGGAGTCTGAGTTCCTGAGCCTGCCGGTTCCGTAGGAGTGTAGTCCTGACCTTCATGCGCTGGTCGGCCGAGGACGATGTTCTCACACATCCGGAGAAGGTCAGCCAATTCGTGATCGGTGAGAGTGAATCCTTCTCCTTGTCCTTCTGACTTGAGGTCCAGGGAGTGGTTGAAGAGTCCACGAACACGAAGAATCTCCTCGGAAGTCATCTTCCGGCTTGAGGTTGTCGGCCGGGTCGTCGAAGAGGTCTCATTGGAGGCCGTTAACGGTGACGATCCCTTGCCGGAACTCTTTCCTCCATTCACAGGGCCGCTGCGGACTTCTCCACATTGAAGACATGTGCGCTTCCAGCGAATGGTGCCATGCCAACTCACTCGATGATGGTTGCATCCTGGTGCAGAGGATGTCTCCGAGTTCATAGACCGGGAATCAGCTGATCCCACAGGGGTGCGCTCCAAGATAGTGCCACAGTCCTTGCACTTCTTGATCTTGTAGAAAGCGTTGGATCCTTGTCCGGTCACGTTGTAGTGGAGGCAGGCAGGCTTCTTGTTCGTCGGCTTAGTCTGTGCCGATGCTGGCGAGACCTGTGATGGTCGAGGATCGGGTTCTTGTGGTCGTGCTGCGCGTGCTTGAACTTCAGCAGGTGGTTCCGATGGGGTAGTCGAGGAAGTTGGGCCTTCAATGGACAGAACTTCTCCTCGGTCTTCTCGATATTCAAATACTCCCAAAGCAGAAACCAGCATCATCATGTCGAGGTCCTCCTGTGACACTGATTGTCCTTCTCGTACGTGGGATGATGCAACCAAAGACCATTTGTCCTCCTCTTCAGGCGAACTCACAATCTCGCCCTGCTGCAACTCCGTGGGAGGCGGTACTGCTCCAAAGATGTTGAAGGGTCTGCGATAGGCCATAAGAGCGGTTTGCTCCTCAGCGGTCTCATTCTCCCGAACGGCGAAGAACACCGTGCGAGGCTTCGCATCTCCAGATCCTTTGCCCTTTCCAGAACCTTTAGGCGATTTGCCTTTTCCTTTGCTTTTCGGGCAGCTAGCATCTCCACTCCAATGTCCCACCTGTCCGCATCGTCGACAAGTGGTGCGAGACTTCAGGTTCTGAATCTTCTGTTGCCGTTCCTGGAGTGTCAACTGTCCTGAGACATCAAATGCTCGGCCGCTGGAACCAGAGGATTTTCCTTTTCCTTTGTTGTGGAAGCCCTTGATGCCCTTCTCCTTGGCACGTTCACGTGCAAAGTAGGCTTCCTGTTCCGCCTGGATGATGTCGGCCGCATATTCCATGGCTTCCTCATCGTTCAGATCAAGTCCTTGATCGGCCAACATGGACAAAAGTGTCCCTTCATCCATCTCCTCGCCGAGGTCGTTGTCCTGCCAGTCGTAGTTCTCCTCATAGGCGTACTGTGGTTGCTCGGACTGGTAGGCGTTGAGGTCGTCATACGGGTCGTGCTCATACTCCTCGGCTGGGTACTCTTCAGAGAAGTAGCCCATTCCATGTCCACCTCCTTTTCCTCGATGACGCCAACCTGAGCCTTTTGGCCGCTCAAAGCCAATGCTGCGCCCTCGATGTTCTCGTTCGTGCAATCGAGAGTGCTGGGCGATGAGCTCGGACTGGATGCCGGCCATGGTGATCTTTCCACCCAAAGCTGATCTGATCAGTAGGACCTGTTGGTCAGTCAGGCCTGCATTGACCAGAGCTTGTTCAGCCAAGATCACTTCCGGCAACTTCAGCTCCTTGTCCAGGTCAGTAAAAACCTGGTACCAGGCCTGTCGACGGACCAAGTAGGTCGACATAGGCTCGGTAGCCTGGCGGCTAAGGATGCCGCCCTCACGGGCGCCGGCCGCGTAGAGCTCGCGTGCCTCTTGTGCCCTCCTTGGCTTCAATGAAGTAGCCAGGGCATCGAGCAGCTTTTCCGCGCCCTCCTTGCTGGCGAGAACAGAGTGGGGCATCTGCTGGGCGACACGTAGTGCGGGGCCTGAGAGCTGCTCCACTAGGCGGAGACCTAGTGGTCCTTGCTTCTTCACCTCGCCGGGATCCATCTCAGCCTCTCGTGCCATGCGGGCACGAACCCGCCAGGTGTATTCACCTAACCTGGTCGCTTCTCCATTGAAGCGTGGGGTGCCACCAGCATTCTTGCCCTCGGTGCTGTTCTGCGTCTCCTCCTCCTTGATGAAGTTGACATACCTGAAGGTGTCGAGAAGCGCCATGGGTGAGCACAGCGCGCAAACCGTGGCCGCTAGGGCCGTGACGAAAAGGGTCGGGACCGGGGTCCCTGGGAGCCTTGGTAGCTCCGCTACCAGTGTGGAAATGAATCCAGCACTGGTAGCAAACATCATAGCGCTCTTTTCTTGAGCCATCGCGAGAGCGAAAGTCGAGTTTCAGTCTCCATCAAGCTGGTCAGGTCCATGAGCAATCCGGGTCAGTGCATGACATGTTCCTGGTTTCACCTTCGTTTTCACAGTACATCATTCTACACTTACTTCTTTTCTTCTTTCCTTGCCTGCTTGCATCCTCCGAACAAAGCATCGCCCCAGCACACGACTTCACCGCCAGCTCGAAGCACCGCAAAGGCGGCGTCCGTCGAGAAGACCTGCCGTGGCAAAAGTTCAGTCTCCCACTAAGAATGAACATCGAAACATGTTTTGACGTGGTTTTCGCATCTGACCTTACATAGAACGAACACATCTCGACAAGTCTACATTTGGCAGGATTTTGTAACTAGATGGTGGAATATTGACATGTTTCATGGTTTGGATGCACATGGCAAAACAAGTGGCCACATGGAGCCAAGTGCAGGAAGAGCCTTGATGACTCCACTGTTTAGAGCTTCCAGGTCCGGCTGGCCGCCGGCATGTGGCGCTCCCCATGCCACGACCTTCGAACTGCTGGGATCGATGTCATTGGTCTGTTTTAGTTGCTGGTTCTTGGCGCCCAACCGCACCATCTCGGCGCAGAGCGGCGAATGCAGAGTTGTTGGAGCACCTCAAAGCTACCAGTTGCACAAGCAAAACCCTTAGGAAAAATGAAAAACAGCAACCAAAAACGGCCAGCGCAGGGCGGGGCACACTTGGGTAATGCCCTCCTGGCAGTTGCGTAGCTTGAAGAGTTTCAATCGCCCTTGTCTTTGCCAACTACGAGTACTGTATATACATTAACAAATTATAACAAATTCCTGTCTCAACCACTCAAATGTTGTTCTAATCGTTTCTTCTTCTCGGTCTCTGTGCCAACATCTGCGCATAATTAGGCACCTGCAGTTGATCAGCCACGGGTGTGCTGTCGCCACCGGAAGCTGCCAAGGCGGATTCACGTCTTGTGGCTCTTGCAGCATGGATATGATGATATATTGTGTAAAGTACAGCGTCGAGCCTGCATGCCCCCATGTGACTACGGCACCCTTGCTGTCCACCTCAACATCTTCGTGCAACACTCACCCCTTTGACTATGTATCTGTTACAAATGGATGGCTACAACGTTGACATCACCCGATGTTTCTTACAAAGTTAGGGGCCTAAACGTCAGTTTTTGGGCTCTTACAAAATGCTTGGCCTAAACGTGAGTCATTTCCTATAAAACAAAAAACACTGTTATAAGGGCCTTGAGGCCACCCATTCTATACGGGAAATCTTGACGTCGATCTATATAGTTATATAACTATATAGTTCTATTGGCTAAAGGCCCCGCACCCAAACAATCCCCATTAGACCATGAGAGGTGCGATATGAACTTCCTGAGGCCCCTGCAGCTGCAAAGGCACCAGTCGTGGAAAATATATTGCCTCAGCTGGAATCAACTACCCGCTGCTTTTGACGTTTAAAGGTGTTGCATCTGGACTGACAGAAAACCATGGAACCCCAATCATAAAGGGTTCTACAGTCTACATGGTTTTACTATATCCTCGGAATTGTCGAACAAGGTTGTGTTGAGTTTAGTTGAGTTCAGTTGACAGCTCAACTCTCTGGCTCTGCTGCGAAAAAATCAGTCCCACGGCCGTCCTTTCCTTTCCTTTCATTTCATTTCCTTTCCTTTCGAAAAGAACCCTGAATTCACTCAGAAGAACAATTGACACGGAACAAATTGGCACTTGTAAGGGTGGGATGGGCATGCGGATGCTTGACTTGCGCACCAAACTTGCAGCTTGCAAGAAAACCATTAAAACATAGAAAAACAACACTGGTGCGCCTTCTGCCGTCTTTCGAGGGCATTGGGTCAATGGTTAATATATACTACTTGTCAATGTCGTTTGCGCAGCGGGCCACTCAGCGGGCCCCATATACGTGCACGTAAAAATGGTTTTGATAGGTTTTGATCCCAATGGCTTTCCTCGTGTCCCGAAGCAGAAGCACTGTAGTTAACACACATCTATGGTGTGGGCATGCGACCCCACATCGCACAAGCTGGAGGAGGAAATCTGCTCCATCAAAACACAGAAGTGCTATCTCCCCACTTTCTTGATGCGCGGTTGGTTGCAGCATCCACTATATTAGAACGTCTTGACTTGAGCAAGTGGACATTGACACAACCGTCTCGAAAGAGATGAAACCTGAGAGTCTATGTCTGGAGTTTCGCCCAGTGGTCTCAGCCCCGCGCTGAGATCTTTGCAGCAAAGACTGGGTGTTTGCCCCTCAGCGTGGCACACATCCAAGACCCGACAAGCCAAGTCCATGCGATCGAGGCGCCCCGTGGAAGTGACAGCCCCAGCACACCACGCTTCCATCGCCTGGCGATAGTTGTCCAAAAACTGGTCATCGCGCACAATATCTGGCGAATGGAATATGAGGTATGAAGCAAACTGTATCCAAGAATTGCCGAAACACAACAAATGCTCAGTCGGCTCCCAGAGTGTTGACTTTTGTCGCGGCTGTTCTGCCGTACAGTACCGTACTGCGACCCGCCATTTGCGTGCAAAAGTCACGGAAACCAACGACAACTGGCATCCAGAAAGGTCTGGAATTGATGGAGTCCATTGGAAAGAACTCCAAGAACATGAAAGAATGTGAGAATCAAGGCCTCTTCCATAAACTCCATTGGGGCGTCGATATGAGTCTTCATGAAAAGAACACCGAATCCTTTTTTTTTTTGGGCGCGCCTTTTCTGATGTGCTATTGCGTGCTAGCTGAAGAAGGATCTTAGATCCTGTGAACTAGATGCCAATTGGCATCTCTGGCGGAGCTTCTCGGTGATCTCCGGCTCGTTGCCCTTCATTTTCGCGCGAGCATGGCATCTGGTGCAGAAAGCTTTGGAGCCGCACCGTTCCATCCTGTGAGATGGGTGCCCATGGCACTGGTCATCCGGAATGGGTCCGACAACACATGGCTCGTTGAGCCATTGCTCAAAGTTCTCCTGGGAGGTTCTAGCCAGAACATATCCTTTACACTTGCGACAACGAACGTAGGCACGGTCCAAGACGATGGCGTGCTGTCCTGGAACCTCCTCAGTTTGTGCTTGGATCATGTCCTCTATGACCTCCATGCGCGTCTTGCGCTTGACGGCCTGAGTCGGCCTTGCAACACATTCAGTCCCCAGTGCGTCACGCAGCTCCTGAATGAGACTCTTGGAATGAAGGCGGGTCTTGCAGTGCTGACAAGACGTCCCCGTGCGGAACGGGATCCAGCTGTGGCCTCCTTGGTTGGGCTTGGAGAGCAGTTCCTTGAGGAGCTCCTTCTTCTGCTGGATGAGTGGTACCTTGGAAGAGTCCTGGCCTCCACCCTTGTGGAAATAGTGGGACTTGTCAGTGAGCAGGTGTTCAATTCTGCCTGCCGCAGCCAAAAGAATGGCTTCTGCATCTTCATCGATGTTAGCCTGGAGATCTAGGATGGCCGCGGGCGTATGCCGGGCAGCAGCTGCCTTGGCCACCTTGGTGGTCTCGTGGTGCAAGAATCGCCGGAGAGGGTTCTCTTTGAGCTCCTTTCGGGCGAACAGCAACGGTCGAACCATTTCAAAGTCCTCGCAATCAAGGCCAGTGAAGAGGTCCGGGTAGTTCTCATAGGCCTGACGTGGTGTCCAATGCTTCCACACTTGATGATCATAGATGGCGACCTGGGTCTTCTCTTTGACATGAAGGGCCAGATGTTTCAAGGCATAGAAAAGTCCTCTGTGCTTGGAGACTTTGCCCGGACAGACCCCTGTCAATGAGGCCACCATCTGTCTGTCAGCTATGCGGTGAACAGCAATGGCAAAGCAAAAACGCTTGCGCCGAACATCTTGGCATGTGGGCGCCAAGGCAATGGTGAATGCATGGCCCGTGCCGAAGGCGAGAGTCTCCTGCGTGTGCCAGTAGCCAGTGCCTTCGAAGGAGCCCATGCCAGTCTCAACTTGGTAGAAGATGGATTGGACCATGCCTCTGTTCCAGAGTTCGGGTTCTGTGCCAGCTGCCAGACGTTCTTTCCATTGCTCGGGTAGATCTTTGACTCGACCTTTCCAGTACTGGCACTCCCACACCAAGTGCACAAAGGTGAGATCTTTGGCGCACAGCGGACAGGTACCTTGCTGACCATGCAACGTGCCCTGGTGGAAGGTTCGAAGAGCTGTGGCTGTTCGCTCGCTTGTGGTCTTTTGGAGTCTCCAACTGACAGCCCAATCCAACGGCCTTTCGAGGCCGTGGCAGCCCTCATACCTGGTCAAACGGAGCAAACGCTGCCACTTGAATTCCTCAGTGAGCTTCTGGAGCAGAACCGGCCAGCAATCCTCAAGGGAAAGGACACAGTCTGGTATTCCACCGTAGCCAGTGCGCTTCCATTGCTTGCCATCATGGATGTCGAACTCATAGTCGAGCAAATAGGCTTGCAAGGCCTGCAATGGTCCAGAAACGACCTGCCATCTGTAGCGGACCTTGAGAAGGGCTCCCAAGGCAATAATCCAGCTGGACCAGAAGAGATGTTGCGCACTCTCTGGAAAGGCATGGTAGATCTTCCACACGGTGTGGAGATGTTGGCAAATGATGGAGTCAGCCGGGTCCGGGAGCTTAGGGTGCATGTCGAACACCACATCAACAGAGCCACTTCTCTGGAGCCGGAGACCTCGAGCTGCGAGGACTCTCAATTTTCGCCGTCTCTGAGGAGGTAATCCATTGGCTTGAGCGCCCCACGTCATCACCGGGTGGATGCCCCTCGGTGGAGCCGATACCTGGTGGTGGGTGCCAAACGAAGACGATGTAGAATCCTGGCGCGTGCACTGCCCTTGGTGAAGCGTTTCTTGACTTGCATCACGTCACCCTTCTCCTTCTGCTGCCGGTTGCGTCCACTCCGAGGTCACGAAGGACGTCATAGTGCCTGTTGTTCCTGTTGCTGGATGATCCTCTTCAATTCGGTCGGGTCATTTTGAGGCTGCTTGACCCAAGTGTCCAACAGGGTGGCAAACAGGTCCTGTTCCAGATCATCAGTGGCCTGCTGCGGCAAAGCTTGGAGCATGGTGAGTAGATCGTGAGCCACCTTCTTGTGATGTGTTTGGTGCAAGATGTTGACCCGCGCCGCCATCCCAGTAAGCTAATTGGCACCTCTTCCAGACTTGCGGCCGGATATGATCGACCAAAGGTGCAGACCTCATCAGGATTTGATGTCCTCGACCTTGCGTTGGATTGTGCAGCAGCTGGGTCAAGTACTGCTCGGTTTGACTTGCCCATCTAGCTAGATCAGAGCCCAAGCCGGTGATGGGAATGCCAGCAATAGAGAAGGGTCCATCCGCTTCTTGGAAGGAGGTCCAGCGCTGAGGCAAGGAGTGCACTTTGCCTATGGGCGGAAACCGTTGGAGCTGCTGGACTTCAACATCAGGAGACTCACAACTCAAGGTGATAGCAAGCCCACAGTGCGGTTTCCAGGCACCTCCCAATCAGCAGCAGTGAGCTGTACCGAGCTGAGAAGGGCATTGGAGACCAACAAATAGTCAAGCTGGGACCCATGCAGTGTAGTGGCCTGTTGAGTGTCCAGGATCTGGCAATTGAATTTGCTTAGGATCACCGTGGCCGCCATGGATTCCGGTGAATTCTGCCAATCACCTCCAATGATGAAGGGCGCATGAGTGTGGTCCAGCAAGTTGAGCAACTTGGAGAGCAAATCCGCATTCTGAGGGGACTGCAAAGTTTCCCCTGTGCGCAAGTAGACCTGGATGAGAAGGATGAAGGTTCCTTCTCGCTGGAGGCCAAGCGCCGTCCATCCATTGCCTTCCTTTGTGTAGGTCTGAACATGATGAGTCAGATGTCGTTGTCCATGGAGTGTGAGAAAACCTCCTGTGGTCCCTCCATTGCCTGTGGCCTCAACTCCGTAGGCCTTCCATCCTCTTGTACTGAAGTAAGGCCCCTTCCATTGCTTTTGCTCCAAGGTGAGTCTCCTGCAAGAAGAGGAGATGATCAGGTTTGGTCCAGACCCAGTCCTGAACTTTGTGACCAAAGTTGGTAACGTTGCCAAAGAACAAGTGGAGGGTCTCATACTGTTTCCTGGGCTTCTTGAGGACCGGTTCCCAAGCATCCAATGCGTCCGGCTGCAACTCGTCCGGTGGCTCCAAGATCAACCAGACCTGAACAACTTGTGCCAGATGGTGCTTTTGGAGCTGCGGTAGTGGAACTGGGTATTGGTCATCATCCGCAAACCGGCTGACCGTTCTCATGCTTGTCCTTGGCGCAGGATGAGGCTGATGACCTTGTAGGTGGCCATGTGGACATGGATGCCATCTTCAGTGATGGGAATGTCAACAGGTTGCTCATTTTTGGTCCATGATCCTTCCACCTGCTGGAATCTCTGAATGTGAAGAATGAGGGCCTCAGGCGTCCCGTACAAGTACTGCCCCTGGTCTTCATTGGACCAGAGATTGATGAGGTCTTCGAGACTGGGCTGCTGCATGTCCGGTGGGAAGAGGAGGTTGAGCGGGACCTGTTCCCTCTCCTCCAATCGGCCATTTGCATGCACGTGAAAGAAGCGGCCACCAAAGAACTTGGAACCTGAATACTCCCATAAGTGTCCAGTGGAGGCACCAGGGAGGCAGGAAAGAACCATTTGGCAGCTTGCGAGGCACCAGGGAGGCAGGACAGGACTCATTGGACAGTCTGCATCTTGGTGGCCCGGTTCAAAGTGCCTCCAAACATGAGAGAGGCCTTCCAGTTCCGTCAGGATCTGAGGTTCATTGCTGGAGAGAAAGTGCCTGGCAGCTGAGTGTGTGGAGCCCCAGGCCAAAGTGAGCTCATCTGTAAAAGCCCCTGCCCAGCACCAGCATCGAAAGGCAGCATTACCGAAACACAAGTTGTGGGGATTGCTGAGAATGCTAGTCAGTCCCTGGGACAGGACATAAGGATTGCCCGTCGTGGGTTCCATCTCCCCCGGTAAAGCCATTTGCTTCAGAAGCACTGCTCGCATACGCTTGAGATCCACCAGCAGTTGTTGGCCTGTGTGCAGGGATGGTCACAAGATTGCTGGAGCTCCTTGTGACACACTTGAAATAGGCCCTGTTGACCAGGGGTCAAGTAGAGCGCAGGGGGTGCTGTTTCATCCACATCCATCATCAACTGCCAGAGGCGAGCCAAGGTCTCAGGAGGCAGGGTCCCGTGGGATGCAATGCTCCGAAGAGCTTGCACTGAGGTAGAACAGCTCGGTGCCCCACTCCAAGCCTGACTCACCGCGGCAGCGTGAGAAGGCTGACTGCCCCCTCGTAGTTTTGGGCGGCTGCAAGTTGCGGACAGGTCCATAAACCCCAAGGTGGAGCGGGTCCGAGCAGCTTGAGCCTGAAAAAGCAAAAGAGTCAAAATCAAAGTGCTGCACAGCCTTCTCAAAAGTCTGTGAGTTCCCCTTGTCCATGTCTGGGCATGGAATAACCCCGTTGGTTTCAATTGAGGAAAGAGCAAGCTTCAAAGCCATGGGTGATCCGTTACCCACACGACTGGTCCTTCTCTTCGTCTGCCGTCTTCCTGCGTTTGGGGTCTTCCTCATTGGTGGCCGGCGGACGCTTCAGCATGGTTTTCAGCTGATCATGCTGTGCCTGGGTGAGGTTCACTCCCAAGGTGCTGATGAACCCCGCTACAGCTTCTGGTACCGGGTCTTTCATGTCAGCATCTTCTGACAGCTGTACAGGATCAGGTTGTTTACTGACCAAGGACATGTACGCCGTGCTAGTAGTGTTCAACTCAGCCTGCTCTTGTTCGATCTTGCTCTGGATGGTCTTCATCTCTTCAATGAGGTCTTGGAAAGCCTTTTTTGTGGCATCAATCTTCGTCTGCAAGGTCTGCTTCCTGTTTGACAGGTCTCTCAAGGTGGAGACTTGCTGTTTGAGCTTGATGGCCACATCCTTTTCGGTGGGTGGTTGCGGCTTGGTGATCTTCTCCACGAGTTCTTTGACCGGTGCCGGAAGTTGTGAAAGATTGTCCTTCAGGACAGCTTCCAAGTCCGGTTCGGCGGCTTCCTGAGGGGGAGAGATGCCAAGCTCCTTGAGTTTTCCTTGCAGTGTCATGAGGACAAAAGCAAGTCCCCAGTCTGCTTCTGGATCTTGGCAGTCTTGCCACTGCCGTGCCAAAGCCCTGGAGGTGGAGTGACACTTTTGTTGAACCTCCACCGGGGATTGGATCTCGGGGCCGGAGACCTGGGTGCATAGCCTTGCTGTGGCTTTGTCCAGGGAGATCCGCATTGGCGGCAGACACATCCTTCTCGGACTCTGTCGTCCCAGATCCAGTTGCGGCAACCTGCATGAGCACATACTTGATAGCTCCGATGATGTCCTCGTTCCATGCTCGCGAGAACTGCCAGGTGCCTTCTTTGGTCTCAAAAACGTTCTCGAGGGTCACGCGTAGTGCCCAGGGCGAGCCGATTTGAGCCTCCTTGAACCAGAGCTATATATATATTGTAAATAACTAAAAACATATCATTGTATATCGATATATATATATATATCCAAACTCTTGCTCCAGTCACGTTTCAAAGCAGCAAAGGCCCGGTGGCTGGCAACAATCTTCCTAACCTTAAGAGTAGACTCCCTCTTTGGAGCACGCCGCAGGTGTGCCATGAAAATGCTGAGATGTGGACTCCATTGTTCCCACTCAGGCGCGCCTATAAGGAATCAACCAAGCTGTACACTAAAGCTGATATAGACCAAGTCTTCCCGTTTGTGTCGTACTTTCCCGTGTTGTTCCTCCAAATAACGTCACATCATTTGCACCAACCTTGAGCTCAGTGCTGATTTGCCCCCCACATGACTGATGACCCCACCTCACGGCGACGAGTTGTGGTGTACTGGAATCCGTGGCAGGCCACTCAATGTCTTGGCACATGGCGTCACAACGCTGCCATCAATCTTTACAGCGGCAAAGGCCATCAGATTCGCAGAAACATCCTAAGTTTCAAGTATGGCTGTCCCAGTTCGATCGACTGCAGGGCCAGCTTTAAAGAAATGGTGCAGATTCAGACATAAAACAGTATAATACAACACTTTGTACAGTTTCCGTGATGTGCTTGTCATTTTTCTGCGGTCCTGAACATCCTCCGCAAGCTGGTCGGCCACCTGCCGCCAAGATGTTGACTGATGGCCGCTTTTCACACGTGCGTGCAGCAAATGTCTGTCAAGGCCTCACTGGTGTCACCTCCAGCAAAGGGAGAGCCCCAAGCTACGGCAGAGCCATCCCCCTGGCAGAATAAGGCGAAGTGCAGTAGACTCACAACCTAATGAGGACCTAAGGTGCTGTGTTTGACGAGCCACTTTACCCATAACATACCAAGTCCAAGGCCTGACAGGCTGCAAAGGCAAAGCGTGTGGACTTTACACCTGAGGTCACATTCGCAACATCGACCACAGCAAATACCATACAACGCGCATCAAGGAATGAAGAACACACAGAATTGTCAAACAATGGGCTGCACTGGCTATGGAAGCAACAGAATGGAAAAACGGAACTTGTATCAACTTGTCAATATTGTTGTCAATACCTGTCATGTACAACCAGCCAGGGGATGACAAAGTGCTCTAGCGCTCATTGAATCACTGTGTCACCCGGCGTAGCCGGCCAACGAGCGCATAGAGCACGCTGTTCTGGCCAGCAAGTACCGTGCACAAGAACCCGATCTGACATGATCTGACCACTTCTACTGAGCGCAGGAACCTCAGGAATCTGCAACTCATCCAATGTGGAATCTTTTGGCAGTGGCACCTGAGCGCAGGGTCACAGTGCTATAGCAAACTGTCACTGGCCAAGCTTTCGTCCTCCACGTCCATTGGGAGCCTCTGTTGGAGAATCGGAGCGTGCCAAGCCCAACAATGGCCTGGCGAAAGAAAAGCGCAGCAATCGGAGCGATGGCCCGTGCCTACAGGTGCAACTGGGCTACTAGACCTGCCGCTCTACTTGCAGAAAGGAGGGCACCCCGGCACTCGTCGCGGCGAAGGGGCAGCACGCGAGGTCAAATTGCGAAACATGAAATATGTGAAACAAAACCATATGATTCATATGATTACATACAAAAAAACTGAATCAAACTATACTGCCAATGCAGTGCATGGCGAAGCGAAACACACAGGTAGAAACGTCCGTGCTGCCCCCCAAAGATTGATCATCTTTGCCTGCCTGCCTGAGTGATATTTTCAGATGGGAAGGGTGAGATTATATACAGTATGCTTGTAGACGTCAAATGTTATTTTAGCTGTTAGCTTTTGCTGTGAAAGCCAGAAGATATGACCACAAGACCATGCAGATGTAAATTGCGGATGGCGCACGGCTTTCTAGTTGTTCCTTTGCAAGTTAGTGCCACTAGACGAAGATGGTCTGCAAAATACCAAGTCAAGAGCTCCCCTGTACAAAGCCACATATCCTCGTTGCGGAAAGGTATTACAAACACATGAAGAAAGGTAGATCTTTGGCAGGGGGTACCATATATATATATATAAATACAGTATATATATATATTATATCTGAACTGACTCCGTTGTTTTAAATCAAGCGGCACGACGGTTCCCCTCCGCCTACCACTTCACTTTCCGGAACTCTTTGATAGAACATGATAGAATCAATCTAGCAACCTTGTGCTGGATGAACATTTTCCTTGGTTAGACCATACGTACCAAAAACAAACGAGATGGTCCCTGGCCCAGCCCTCTGATGCGAGGTTGGAGCGCGTTTGTCCGAGCATGAGTGACCAACTGTGACAAAGGCTAGCGATTGCTTGGTATAGTGATCAAAGTGCCGAATCGATGACAAACATGTCGGTCGACTCTTACCTATCTTGCCTATTTCATCCATTTTCATGCTCTTTCCCTCACTGCGCTGCCTGCGCAACGCCGTTTGGGCCAGCGTTCTTACAGAACGGACGCTGCTGGTAGTGGACACTTCAAGAGCCGCCTGGCACAAGAAATCGGTTCGGATGTGGCCTGGCCTTCATGATCCACAAAGTACCTTCGACTACAAACTGGGATCTATCGCTCTTTGTGACAGGCAGAATTTCAGGTGATGGATTGAGGGGCATATATAGTGCAAAAATAACATGTCAAAACCCAGGATCCGATGCAGCAGCTCTCGCGGCATTGGCACCCTGACCTTTTCGCCGCTAAGCAAGGCTACCCACAATTGCATGGCTTGGACGCTAAATAAGCCGTGCCGGGCGATTGAAAGCCTGATCAGAACAGCTTTAAACCAACACGTCACACACATCCACCCACTAAACTAAACCTAAGCTACTAGGAACAAGTGCATCGCTTCTAGTAACAAGTGCCTTACTAGTAGCAAAAAGAAGCTAGTAGACATCACATCTCGGAGGTAATTAAATAACAAATTGAGTTGATCACATCTTGAGGGGAATGCTCTCTCCACCAAAGAGAGTGCAATATAGACGCCTCTTATCTGCATTCTTCGCCGCATCAGTAGCAAACAAGTCACTCGTGTTAGTCATTGTATATACAGTATATATAGTCAATTGATTTCTTTCCATGTAGGCTCACTGTATTATTTCACTTTTGAAGGCCAAAGGCCGAAGACTGTCATGTCCTTGTTGCATTTCGTTGCCGTGTTTGTGTGCATTCTATGAGACCAATTCGGCACCTGAGGCGAGCGCAGCTTGCAATGTGTCGCCACGCATGATCATGGAAATACACCCAACAGTGCAGAACAAAGACGCACACATGGCTGCAGCAAATAATAAAGCGAGCAAATCCTGCTACGTTCAAATCTGAGAACGCAACTATAATATACCTTTTCTTCTCTCTGGAGTCATTTGGCACATTTGGCGATGAACGTTGGCATGCTGTGGGAATGTCCGCTTCAGGATCGAACACGAGCCTTCTGCTGACATCCCGGAGCAATTAGGGAGTTATTTTGCTTCTGGCCGTGGCTGATAGCTCGACCAAGTGAAATGGGGCGGCAAATGCTGCGGGCAAATGCGAACCATGAGAAAGCGCACAATGCAGCGCGTCATAACTGCAGAAATCAGAAACGACCCACCCATCAAAAAACAATTGCAATATTATGTGGCGTCGGCTTCAACAAGCATCATTATGTGCGCGACCGCTTCCCTCCCTGCTATGGGAGTTCAACGCACGTGCTAGGTTGCCCAAACATCTGCCGCAAGAGAAACTGAGCAAAATCTAGCACAATTTCTAGGCTGCAATTACTATCACGCCAGCTTCTCTGGGTTCTTGCCTTCCACTCTTCAGCTCGGCATGCAAAAGGCCATACTGGTCTCTTACCTCTTCTTCGGTGATGACATGCCACAGCCGCTCCAAATTGCGAAAGCTATGCCCAGCCTTCACCATGAGAGTGTGCTCTTGCAAGAACAGTGCTTCAGGTTCTGTAATCTCTTCAGGCCACTGGAGCAACAGCTGCAACTCGGGCCTTCTTGGGAATCGCTCTTGCATTATTGCACGTGCATCTTGGATGCTAGGCAGGAGCGATGGTGCTTTGGAGGCATGCAAGCAATATCTGTTGGTATCCAGGCCATCGTGCTGCAGTTTCAGGGAAGGGAAGTTCCGAAAAGCCTTGAGACGGAAGTCCAAGAAAAGGGCATCCATTCGAGTTGCTTCGATATTTGAAAGGTGCAAGTGTGCTGCTCCAGCTAACCAACCCGCTGAGAGACGACGCGCCAATTCCTCGATTGGGTCTAAAATCATTCTTGCCATGACTGATGATCTATGGAACTGCGGTCGCATGCCCTCACAAGGCGGTTTGTCTGGCTCCATGATTTCTACACTGACCTCATTGACTTCCGCCCAGGCTGAGCATATCGGTGGTGGATAGAACTTTGGCTCCAAATAGCCACGAGGATCCATGCTCCGCAGGCGCCGCAGGATGTAAGCGCAGTCGGTTGCATCCAGGACCAGTGGCTCCCAGGCACTGACAAGTTGCTTTAGTGCCCCGGCCTGACGATTGCTGGCTACAACCAGCAATTTCTCGCGCAGCTTCAGAAATGATGCGATCTGAGCAGCCAGCACGAGAGGCAAAGGTTCCAAAAAGCATTCCTCTTGAGATGTAGGAACCACCTTAGCTGCTTTGGCTGGGATGTCTGGAGATTCCTCAAAAGCTGACAGGAGTGAACGAGGGACCACACCTGCTCGTGGCTCTTGGCTTTTGAATCTCTTGAGGCTGGAGGCGCTACGCTTCTGAGGAGTGGAGGTCGGACCTGTTGGCGTCAGCGACATGCAGCTTCGAGCCACCAGTGATGCAAAGGCCTCATCTTGGGAGGCTCTGCTTTTCAGCACCTCTGCCAAGAAATCAGCCGTGGGCGGATGCCGGAGCAAGGCCGGCCAAAAATTCGGATCATAGAGATGAGCGTCAATGAGCTGCTGAGCTCGACGTTTTGGAGGAGCAGGCCTCCTCCTGGTTGAACGAATCGGGCTGCGCCATGTGCACAATGCCATCGAGTCTAGGAGCTTGGGCTCAAACAAATGGCTCTGGTGGGTCCTCTGTGTACAATTAGCATTCCAACAGACCCTCATGCTGATTTGTTGCCCATCTTGCCAAGTCTGAAGGTGAACAGGCTCCTTTAGCTATAGTTCACTCCAAACATATGCGGCAACACTTCAGTCAACGGCCAACACAAAAGTTCTAGATTTTGGCAATGGCAACTTAAGAGCCACATGGAGCTACAAAGGAATTCGAATTCGTTGCTCGAGAGTCTTCGACATTCCTAAACTCAGCTCAGACTGCCAGCACTCCTTTTTGCAAACCTTTGTGCTCAAAGTGTTCAATCAAACACTTAAGCCAATCACCCTCACCTTCGAAGGTGCTCCACCACCTCGAAGGGATATTGATGCTCTCCTTTCGATACTTGGGACTCCCACATGTTCGTTCACAAAATCTAGGCAGACTCTGCAAATGACAAAAGACCAATGTTGCAAAGAAGTCACACCGTTTTTGTGAAGGCATCCAGGTCCACACTGAAAGCTTCCAAATCCGGCAGCACACCTGACAAATCCAGCGCAGTCATTCTGGCAGCAACACCGGCCAGTATCCCTTTTCAATGCATATTTTATAGACACATATACACACACTCGCCGGCCTTCTTTCAATCGCGGGAAGCAGTTGACCAGAATGGTGTCTCTTTCGAAGGGAGGGAAAATTGCCAGCCACAATGCATGGTGGATCATGAGCACCTCTGCTGAGGGACGATGCAGTGTCTAAAGCGATGAGAAGCAAGTACTTAGTACTTCATCTATCTTCATCTGATGTCGCTCATTGATGAACAGGCGCAGGCTGGAGAGGGGGTTTGAAACTAATGGCACAACAGTGTCACACTCTTGCAATCAATGGCACGGTGGATGGGCTGCCTCGCTTGTAAGGCATTGCATTGAAACCTGCAAAAGCTGAAACAAAAGCCGTGACATTGTATGATGTCACCTGTCACGACAAAACAGGTCTCCCTTCAAAAGAACACGGTGATAAGAATGTGACACTTAGTGATCTCCAAGATCAAAATGCCTGTGCACATATGTTCTCCAAATACATCATAATACATCTGTATACCTACCATCAAGGAGGGTGGAAAGAAATCATCAAGTGTCGGTTTCAGAATGTTGCGGAATGATGCCAAGGCCCTCTTAATGACATTGGGGGCTAGAAAAGGGAACACGACACAAAGATGACTACAGTCAGAATGGGGAAAGAGGAGCAGGTGTTTGTTGCAGCACTATGTATCCGTCATGCAGTCTTCTGTCATGTATCAACTTGCGTAGTTGTAAACTGGGACCAGTCGGACCCATCCGGAACCACCCGAAGCACACCTAGCCATGCCAGCCGGGCTGTAGCACTTTGAAGTTCTGCCCATGCCATGGATGTCGACAGAGTGGGCCAGGACAGGGTGTAGCAGCTTGTATCAACCTTCGAAGCGCCGGAAAGTGGCGATCAGCGCTGTTTTGCACTATGCTGCAGCTGAATACAGGGATGCAACGAGAAAATCGTAGCGGCCCAAGTCATATAGCCGGGTTACGTTTCGTAGCTTGTTGTGTGATTGTCGATGTCATGATGTTTCATGGTCAAGGTGCAAGAGAGAGTGCAGCTGACTGGAACTTTGCCAGCTCTGCCTGGTTGGCAATGACACCAAACACACACACACACAATCCTAACTCAAACAAACTCACTGTAAAATACACTCAACAGAAACTGCCCATTCAAGCGGAAAGTGCCTGCATCACTGACCGGATGACCACTTCGGTTGCAAGAATGGAGCTGTGCAAGATGACGCCCCACATCCTTTCGGCTTTTGGAGTTCTTTTTCGATTGCTGAACTCCCATAGCTTCTTGTTACTACTAGTAAGGCACCTGTTACTACTAGCGTGGCACTTGTTTCTAATAACACTGTAACCTGCTAACAGTTAGAATATTCAAATAGCTCATGTCCAATTTTGATTGTTGTCGCTACACCACTATGTAAGTGGAGCATGTAAGTGGAGCTTTGCATGGGGAGTCACACAAGTCTGCCTCCAAACATGTGGTCGTCTTCGAAAGCAAGTGCACAAAACAGCGAAACATCAAAATCAGTCCTGTCAAAGTGAGGGGCAGACTCCTGCCCATACCAAGTGTAGCAATCCTAGCGCAATTTCACCGCCCAACATCTGGGAACACATCCGGATCTATTCCTATTCCTGTGACCCTCCACGTTCAGCGGTCCCAGCCCAAGAGGAGGCCATCGAGAGCTGAAACCGCCACGGTGCGTGTCAGCACGACCATGCAGGAATCCTTTTCAAGGTAGACTCCCGATTGCCTGGCAAGAATGGACACATAGACTGAAACGGCATGATCAATAACGGCCCACTCCGCGCTAACTTGGCATCCCGATCACACTTCCATCCCAGTGCACGAAAAGTCTCGAAGTATCTCACAATATGCACGGGCCGTTCACGTACACAGGAGACTCAGGGCAATGCCTCTCTTTGACGGAGTTGTTCTGGTCAGAGCTGTTGCTGATGTTCAGCTCCTTCAAGATGCTCCTGTACAAGAATTACGTGTGTATATATTTCTTACATACATGTTGGATTTCCATCATAACTCTGGCAACTTGGCCTTTAGCATGAACTGAACAAATGGGTGGAAATAAGACAGCTGAACTGACCAAATGGGTCACATGGTCACACATTCTCGGTTCGTTGTCTGGCTTTTTCAGTCTGTGGAGGGGCAGTGCCTGTTTTCCCCAGGAGTGTGGAAAACCAGCAGTGGCTCGGTTCCTTGTCTGAGCAAGTGCTTTGGGTCAACAAAGAGTTCGATAAGTAAGTAATAACTTGTTTCCTCTATATAACTGTCTTGTGAATCTTGTGTCAGGGAATCTTCCCCACCTTTTTCTCACAGTTCAGGCTCTTGAGTCTCAAGGGCAAAAGAGACATGATTTGCACACTTGCTTCAAGATACGGCTTATCTTTCGACGTGGCTTAGCGAACCAAAAGCCTGTGAAAGAGCTCGTGGATGTCTGGAAGATGAGGCAAGGCCCCTACCTACCTTAAATTATTGAATAGCATCCTCCTCATCCTGCCGTTTCTGAAATTACTGCGCGTGCATGCATGTTTGACAAATTTTGGCAGCCTACCACTCAACCAAAACATTGTGAACTGCCATTCAAATCGCCACACAAAGCTAAAGTCACACATATATGAAGTGGAACTTTTTGCTGCCAACCTTCGCGAATTGGCCACCTACGCCAGTGGCTTCGCGAGCCGTCGCACCACACGATGTATCATGCAAATGCCTTCGGTTCCAGTCTTGTCTAAAATCAACACTGGATGAAAATAACAGATCAGGTGATTTGATAGTTGGAGCGATAAGGGGTACAAATGCAAGCTGGATCTCAGGAACTTTTGCCTGGCGTATGCTGCATCGCTGCATGGACTTATCTTCTGAAAAATCAGCCCCGCCCGTTTTCCTGCATGACGCACTCTCCACCTGCAATGATGTCACTGTAGCCGCACACATCCTCAGAAGCTACCCAGCCATCGGAAAAAGATTAGGCTCGAACTGGAAAACAAACGGCATCATGCAAAGATATTGGCACATATTGAGATTCATAGTATGTTGCGCTTAAAATGCAGCAAGGAAAGCAAAACTGGCATTCCATGGCATTCCCATGACTTCCTACAGTTGATTTCTGCAAGGAACTCCGCATTTTCCAAGTTCGAGCTACACTTCAATTGACCCCTGTAGTACCATACCTTGTCCTCTGTCATGCAAGTGTTGCTTGAGTGCGGCAGGAAGGAAAGTTGTTTGCATTGTGGGGTAGGTCCAGCTAAAGAAAGAAAAGGAATGAGATGGATGTGCAACGGAAATATATTGGAGCTTGGAGCTCAAACGGGTCGCGGAGTGAGGACACTGAGAACACCCACCCACTGGCAGTGCCAAGCATGGCTGACTTGTGCATGCACAAATATGAAGAGGTCCCACGAGCATGGCACCATGTCCGTCCCCCACTCTAGCAGCAACAAAATCATTAAAGCACAACGAGTCAAGACATCTGGATAAATGCCCTACGCTTCATAGTAGCAATGTAGAATATATAAAGTAACTACATATACTTATACAATATTGTGCTATTGTATATATATATACATGTACACCCTAGTCAGTAGTCACCCTCATTTCCACACCCAGCTTGTGCCATCCACCCATACTGTCATGCCACTTGGTCCGCGCGGAGGGCCATGGCTCTTGCAGACTCTTCTTGTGCCAGAAGACCCCATAGCGCCGCATGGGTGACACAGAGGTGCCTGACAATGTCCACAGTCATAGCTGAATGATGCTGCTTTGTATATTGTTCTTTGCTTTTCTTTGCACAATATACAAGGCATGTCCAAGATGGACTTGCAAAACAATGCCTCCAATGTCACAAGGAGAAGAATGCGAACTTGCCACATTGACTTCTACAGTTTCCTCACCAGCGAAATGGTGCCGAGTTGCCAATTGAAGTGTCCTGTGGTTCAAAGAGCTGACCACTCAACTGATTGGACACGTCACTGGAAACTGTTCCAAACTTGTGCTGCTCCAGAAGTTCCAGCTCGGGAGGATTCTAGCAACTAGCACATTCACCGCAGCCATAAATCTGTTGACCACAAATCAATCGGACAAACGGGGCTCCTCTATCAGCCGGCGAACCCCAATCTTTGCTTCTTCACCACGGTTCTCGGAATCGCTCCTGCGGCAGCAAGTCATTCGAGCGAGTAATGACAGTGAACCATGTGAAGTGAACATTGAACCTCATTGTGCTCCACGAATTTGTTTTGTGTTTTAACGCCCGACTGGCTTGAAGATCTTGAAGACTATCAGAACTTGTGTATTTTCTTGTTGTGCTGCTATGTGCTGCTATTCAATTCTGCATGTTGGTCATCTTTTGGATCAATTTGGCACCTTTTCCTTCCAGCAGTGATCCGCATGCCTTGTGACCGTGACCGTGCATGTGGCTCCTCACTTCCCCAGCGAGATCCAAGAGATCCTGCACGTTGAGGTCCTCACGCTCGCTGATCCACTTCGCCAGCTTCATCGCAGCTGTCCTCATGCGTTCACCGAACTTCACCTGCGTTCACTGCAGACGGTGCCTTGACATTGTCTCAGTGTCATGAAGCACCAATTATATTCAATCATGACCTCACCCATTGGGATGCATATAGTATATTGCTTCATAAGCAAATCTTGTCACTGGGGAGACCTTTTCTTGGGCCATCGGCCAGCTCGTGATATCATGGTCCCACCTGGGCTGCTACCTGCGCGTCACGCCGATGGATGGTCGGATAGCGAATCAGGAAGCGTGCCCACCTGACGGTTTTCGGCTCAAAGGGTGGCCCAGTTCGGGCAAAGGTCTGAGGACGGAAGGCTTAAATCAAGTCAAGAAGGATTTTGCTTTGATCTGCTTTGCCGACTTGAGTGTCAGCGCGATTTGACTACGATGCTAGATCGGCAATAGGAACGGATATATACTCAGAACACTACTCAGGACTTACTTAATCTCTTACTTATAATGTAACACAGCATGTTCTATTGATAACTATGTATGGCAAGAAGCGCCTCTAGATTCTTGGGCCTACAGTAATGACTTTGGCCTGACTCTCTGGCCACCTAATGCTGCATGCCTGGCGTGAGTGGAACCAATGAATTGACAGCTGTTTTGACCTCATGAAGCGGGTCACTCAACTCCACCCAGGCACGGCATGTCGTGGCCGCGTTCTGCCAGCTTGGCCAGGTGCGCGCTGTGGACATTAGGGTTTCGATAGAAACCACCCTCCAAGAAAGGTCCTTTGGCTTCATCCGCCTCGTCGGAAGATGTGGCCGCTGCGAAGATGACATGAATTATACCAGTTGAGTAAGGCACAGCTGCAGTTATGGCAGTGAGATGAGCATCAGGATTATATCTTTGGCTTGCCAATTCCGCAATGCAAGTGGATGCGATTCACTGTGACAAGGTGACAAGGTCTCAAATGATTCCAAGATGTTCCACGATGCCTCTGCAGCCAGGAGCTGTTGCAAATGCTCGCGGTGCAAAGCTGAGCAGTCGCACGACTCCTCCTCCTGCAACTCGTCACCGTTGATATCTCAGGTTTTTCAAGAAGTTGCTATCAAGCATTTACAAATATTTACCGTGTACGTCATACATCAGCATTGCACATGTTGAGAGCAATCGTAGATGTCTCGGAAGATCAGCCCCCGATAAACAACCAATATATTAATATATAACTATAGTAGATATATGCATACCAATACCAAATGAACTCCAAACACTCCACTTGATCTCCTCCCACTCGCTCCAGCCGCACATTGGACTCCAGCCCACTACCACCTTCTGCCCCTGGGCGTGCCACCAATCACAAATCACACGCTGCACCACTGCAGCTGCGAATTGCGCATAACCTGGAGCAGTGCTGACAAGAAGAGACTCATGACATCTCATGACATTAATCATTGAACACCATTGAACACTGATTTTGCTCACAGATGCCCCAATGTTCAAAACTTTAGACCAATGTATGCACACACAAATATACAAACAAAACAAATAAACACGCAAAAAAGTTGCTAATGTTTCTTGCCAAAGGTGCCTGGCTCCGGCAATTCCGTCAAGGGTTCCAAAATAGACCGCCACCATGGTGACAGCGAACGGCTCTTGGGTGAAGCTGTCAGAATCCCGCCTTCTGGGCCTCGCAGAGAAATGCCAGCAATCACGAAAAGATCTGCATAAACAATCTAACACATATACAAAGCACATCAGTCATACGTGAAGCTGCATGTTGTTTTTCTGTCGGCATTGATCTGCCATTGTTGAAGCCGCAAGCCAAGACTCTGAGATGATTCCATGTCTCACAAATCTGCACCAGCATCCGCAGGTCTGTCTGCATTCAGCACCAGTCGATAAACTCGCACAAAAAGATATATACATATATATATATATCGCTATACATGCAATATACATGCACAACTTGCACAACGCACCACGGCTTGCCTGCCTCATCAGACTTGTCAGGAGAAGAGAACTTGAATAGCAGAATCCTCTGCCAGTGGCCTTGAGAATTCCAGGGCCGGCGACAGCATCAAGCCATCTGCTGAGCTCCATACAAGAGGCTGGCCACAGTTCTTCAGTGGGTTCTTTTGCAAAGTCCTGCACGAAGCCCGGCCTGACAGCAAAGGGCAATTCGACTGCGTAAGATCATCCATGATGGAATAGCATGAGCAATCGGCTGCACCTGTCAATGAAAACAATGGTCTGCAAGAAATTGGTGCGTCTGCATGTCACTGCTGAGCACTCTTGCAGTTTACCCTGTCACCCGCCCCAATACCCTGTCGCCATTCGCCACCCCTGCCTCAAAACCTTGCGGCAGCAAAAGGTACCATTGCTTCGACCCTCGGACCGTCCAACACACTTGAGAGAGGAGGGGGTGAACGAAAGGTAGCAGGCAATCACAAGTAACCCTGGTAGAAGTCCACGACGGCGTGAACCGGCGCAGGGGGGATTTGATCCAGGGGGGGGGCCCGTAAGAGGAAAGAACACGCCCTATGTGTCGAAGACTGTTTTTGCACTTCTCTTTATAAATTTCGGTTCTCCAAATTTATAAATATATAACATATTTAAATAGATTTATAAATATAAAAACTGTTTAAATAGTTTTCATTTGCAAAGGCCCGTGGCAATTAAATTTATAAATATTATAAATATTTTAAATATTATAAATATGTAAAAATTTCGGGCCTCCAAATTTATAAATATTATAAATATTATCAATATTTGGCATTCCCGGGATCCCGTGGCAATTAAATTATAAATAATATAGATATTTTAAATATTATAAATATCTATAATATTTACAATATTTATAAATTTCGGGCCTCCAAATTTATAAATATTACAAATATTCGGCAGGCCCGGGATCCCGTGGCAATTAAATTTATAAATATTATAAATATTTTAAATATTTATACTATTTATAATATTAATAAATTTAGGGCAACCAAATTTATAAATATTATAAATATTATAAATATTTGGCATTCCCGGGATCCCGTGGCAATTAAATTTATAAATATTATAAATATTATATTTATAACTATTATAAATATTTATAATATTTATAGTATTTATAAATTTCGGGCCTCCAAATTTATAAATATTATAAATATTGTAAATATTTGGCATTCCCGGGATCCCGTGGCAATTAAATTTATATAAATTTAAAAATATTATAAATATTTTAAATATTATAAATATTTATAATATTTATAATATT